AGATATAGTATCTTTAAGAAGGATATCTCCAATTTTGACGAGATAAGCTTCGCTCTCGGCCTTACGGCTACTATAAAGGTCGCGATAAGGACTTTCTATAGTCGGCGAGCTCTTTTATAGCCCAGAAATCGCTAACAGGTAACGGTAATTAAGACTACAGTGGTGTATCATAAGTATTTGGCCTCCGGTGCTTCGGGCCCCTGACCGCTAGAATAGACCGCCTACTATTTTAGACCATGAAATCTCGCGTTCATCACGCTAGTATACACGCTATATATCAACGTGTTTTAATACAATTTTCTCGCAATTTCCTCATTTAGTTATGCCTCCTATACGTGGGAAAAGGGGCCCAGAGCTCGACTGCCTTACAAGAGCTAAAAATTGCGAACTATAAGCTACCAATGGCTGGGGTGCAACCACTATCAAAAAACGACGATCTTAGACAATCCACGCTCAACTATTCAATATACCTTAACCTAAGAATCGAAGCGTATAAAGCAGGAGCCTTTATCACGCGCTGGCCGCCCTATGAATAGACTTCCCCAGAACCCGATTGGACCCGGACCCAATGGGTTCTTAGGTACCCAATTAGACCCAATGTAGGTGTAAACATACCAAAAATGCCAATCTTTTAAATACCATATGTTCCAAGCTTGTTTTTACCTCTTATATTTAGGTAGTTTTAATACTTTTTAATTCAATTATAAAAATAATGACTAATTTATATATATTACCTATAAATTATAAGTCTATACATACTAGCCTGGTAAGCCTATATTACTAATTATAACTAACTCCGAATAACGAGAAGTATAGATATTAAAGTCTGTAATTGATTACAGTGCATAAATTTTGTAAAAAGATAATGAAAAATTGGGTTCTATTGGGTTGGTGCGGGTTAAAATTGGGTTTTAGAGAAGTCTACCTACGAACCTTAAACGACGAAGATCGTGATCATATATACGATACGATATAGCAAAACCCGTCAATTTTGGTCGAAGACCTATTTGCGGAAGTCGATTATAAGGTCTAACGTATGTAAATTTAGCGCCTTACCTATGAAATAGGCCTTCGAAAATAGCGGAAAATGTAGCGGCCCTCTTTAATGCCTTTATACGCTAAAAAACGCCCAAATTAGGCCTGGAGATATTAGCATTTTACAGCTATGGATCAGGCCTAGGTCTATTAGTTAGACGAATGTACGGTTAAATGTGGTATCGGCTAGCGTTAAGAATAGACCTTTACACGTCCGAAAGACTAGCTTTTTCAGTATCACGAAGGATATTAAGTGCAAATAGTTCCGACGCGTAGGAAGCAAATAAGTAGATATTTTACGCTTCTTTTCGTGGTCTACCGCGTCGTTCTAGCCTAATCCTACTATTTAGAGATCCGTAGTCTCGTCGTAGAGGCGTGTCTTCACGTACAATTAAAGAGCTTTATCGGCGTATCCTACCTACGCTACTTACTAGTATTGATCAAAATGCTATTTTTTAGTAAGATAACGCGCCAATTTACACTATATTATTTGTATAAGATGCTCTTAATAATATTAAATGCGAAATTATGGAATAGCCACCCTATTCACCTGAATTAAATCCTAATAAGAACCTATAGGCGCTACTGAAAGCCGAAATATTGAAGCGTTATCCTAAGCTTATGCACCTACCAAATAACGGAGATACGCTAGAATTGCTACTTCATGCTGCGTAAGAAGCATAGGAAACGCTAGACATTGAGGTCTTTAAGCATCTCTCCAAGACTATGCCATATAGGGTGGCTTGTCAGGACCCCGACCTGCCAGGTGCCTGATAGATGCCTGAAGGTATACAGCGAGCCTTGGCCCTCGCAATGCGAGGGTAGTTGATCGCACGTATGGGCCACGACGGCCGTGTATGTCGCTAAATACATTAGCTAAGCGCACCATGTTTATTGTGCTCGCTGGTCCTCGCAAGAGGACCAGCAATTAGTCTCTTAATAGACCTGCACATACATTTGCCGATAGACTCTACTTCCCGAACTCATACCGCTACTCTAGGACCTCGCAGGGTCCTAGCATGGCTGATGTTATTAAGTATGAGGGCTGGCATACTAGCTATTAGATTGAATTAAATTTCGAGGTTTCTGCTAGGCAGTATGAAAAAGTGGGTCCTAAGGCCCGAAGTACCAGAGGTCAAATACTTATGATACACCACTGTATAAGTGCATTAGGGTAGGCGTTACCGCTATACGTGATTCTTACAGGTAAGAGTATTTATAAAGACTAGGTCACCGACACTGATCTACGGGACTAGCTATTTAAAGTAGACTTCTCCAGAACCCAACTTTGGACCCAATCTTGGCATTGCCAAGGACATATATAAATAGTACTATTTACATATATTCATGCAAAAAGTTAGGTCGAGATTTGGTTCAAAGTTGGTTCTGGAGAAGTCTAATACATGTAGAAGAAGCTATAGATTAGATAGGCAGTAGCTCGCTATATATAGCTTTATGATCGCGAGGCAGTAAATTAGCGAATTATTGGCCGCTAATGCGAAGATAAAGCGTAAGAAGAGACGTACGAAGGCTTAATTAGCTTAAATGTAGTCTATTGGTCTTATAAGTTATAGAGTATATTAGTGGGCTCGGAGAGGTAGAGGAGGCTTTATAAGACTATACTAGAGGCTCAACGTCTAACCAAGCTACTAAGAGGAGACTATAGCGATACAGCTTTATGGAATGCCAATACATAAATGAAATAGGTGCCTAATGAGGTCTGAATAGCTTCATTTTCAATGAATTCGTGTTATGGTTGATATAATGTATTAAAATGGTAGACATAATTAAGTGGGTCACCGTTAGACTTCTCCAAATTGGGTTTTGGAGAAGTCTAATATTAAGATATAAGGCTGTAATTTATCGTATTTACTATGTGTTTTGCGGTGATCCACTCGCTTGTATGAACCATTCGCTTGTGAAATACATTAGAACATACGGTTATATAGGTAAAAAATTGCAATTCATCCCGATAAGTTAGCACGTTATACGTCTATTTCAGGCGACTTTAAGTAAAATTAGGCGAATAGGCGTTTCCTATAATAAGCCGGGCAATGCCTATAGACAAAAATAGGCGGAGCTTTCCTTAGCTAAAACGCCTAAAGCGCATTGTACATAGGCAATAGGCCTTACCTCAAGGCTCATAGACGGCCTGTGTCGCAGCCTAATCTCTTGTGACCTAGTATTGGAAGCCAGCCATTCGGCAGAAACCACCCGCCACCCCCGGGGCCGGGGGGCGGGGGTGACACACCTTCCAAGCCAGCGTTCGGTCTTTTAAATACGACGTTATCACCTATGATTTATACGCTTCACTTAGGATTTCACCTCTCTTATCGATTGTACACTCTAGGAGACCTGGTTTCTGGGCTCAAGTAAATTACCCGCGTTATATCAGCGGTCGCATTGTGTTTAAGCGTGCCTGCTTATTAGCATTGCGTAGTGGCCTTTTAGTTCAGTTATTGATTCCTTCCCATTCTTAGATACACGCGTACAGTACGGCATGTTCATATGATGGTCATCGGGAATCTACGGGGATTGTGCTTCAGGCTAGATCGATTAGGTTCCAATGTTGAGACTATGCTTATAATCAGCCTTTGCTTGACGAGCATGTGAGCATACATATGGATTACGTGGTCTGACTTGTTTTAAATCCACGATAGTGGCATATAAACATATGTATCTGATGCCTTTGTTTGTTTGCCTCGGCTGGGGAAGAATTAATCGGTGTCGTGCTGAAGTACATTTCTTGTAGACCAAAACCGCGAAATCATAGGTAACACCCGATATTTGGCTCTTACGCTTCTTTCCGACTCCATAGGCCTGCAACCATTATACACGGTGCATCAAAGTTGTCAAAAGTATATGGTATTTCACATGAGACTCAGCCTTTATTGTTTATTGCTACATGTGAAAGCATCCTGCTCCACTGCCTGATGGTCGATATAGCAATAAAAGACACCAGAGGTCAAAGAGTAACAGATCAGGTCACGCGACCATAAGGGACCTCGGGAACAGAACAATGTCAAAGAGGGAAGCCGGAGAACTTCTAGGCCATAATCGGCTTAGAATTCCGATCCCAGGCCAGGCCAATTGACGAATAAGGTAGAGATGTGAACTCTAGGGCTGCAATTGACGCAATTCGGTGCTTACTAGGCAACCACTGAGCATGAGTCATAACCAAATCAGAAATCCAAACCAGCATATCACACCAAAGATGAGACGAATCGAAAGCAAAAAGCAAAAAGCAAAAAAAGAAGATACAAAGAAATAGAGAATCCAAAATATTTCTGAAAGATACTGTTAGAAAGATAGAAAGATAGATAAGATCTACCTATCAGGTGACTGCCCGCATGTCATGTGGGATGGGCACCTGAAAGACGGACGTCATTGCTCTGGTGACTGCGGACTGCGCCCCTTCCAACCACCTGCGCTTACGCTCTGACTTCTCGCCTTCCTCATTATTGGTCCCATGAGCCCCCTTGGGAAAATCATCTTGGGAAACTCTTGGGAAACTTGGACTCTCTACGCGCCACCCCGCAGTTATACCTGACTCACTTTGTTTGCTTTTAACTCCCCTCTTTCCCCCATCCAACCCCTTTTATCTTTCTGCCTTTTTCAATGGACCTCGTTCCCCCACCAATTTGACTCATTCGGCAATTGTAGCCTTAACGCCGAGACTTGGGCTTATCGCCACCCAAAACCCCCTCCCCCTACTAAGACAAAGAGGCCGCCCTGACAAATCATCTGGCTTTACCTGATTCATTTCCATTGACTTCCACACTCGCCAGCTTTCTTCATCTTCTCTTCTATCTCACTGATCTCCGTCTCCCCATTGACTGCTTTAACCTATCTTGACCGGCTTACCTCAAACTTACCCAACTTACCGACTTATCAACTTATCGCTTGGTATCTCATTGGAAATGACCTCATCGGCTGCTGCTTGGCCTTCGGGCAAACATCCAAATATGAATCGTCTCCCCTCTGTTTCTAGCCTCATGTCACCCCCCGAGACTAAACCCCTCGAGACCTTTTCGGCCTCGCGTTCCCCGTTTGCAAAGCCTCGAGATTCCTCCATTGGTGACATAAAGCTTCCACCTATCTCAGCTGATCGAAAGCGGACGCAGTCAGAGATGGATCTTCCATCGCCACCTGTGACCCCGTACACAGGGAACAAGAAATCCAAGTCACAGGCATCCGACCCAGTCGAAAGAGACGGATCCTCAAGGGATCCCGTTCTCTTTCCTCGCCAGGACTCCATTACTGATGTTACTACCGATGAACCGCTTTTCGGTCCCGTCAATCCAACTGCAGAGGCTCTCATGGAGCAGCATATTAATTCCCACATGGCGAGGTTTGCAAACAAAGTGAATAAACCCACCCGGGGTGAATATCTCCTGGCGCTCTCCTGTGTCCCTATTGTCTCGACTCAGTATAACCGGAACCCGGCTGCCTGGGCTCGCGAGGAACGGGAGACCTTGGAGCGTCAGTTGGTCATGATGAACCGCTACCGCCCAGACGACGAACCCAAGTTGAAGAAGATTGCTCCTGCCTCAAAGAAGTTGGGAACCCAGCCGCGTGTGCAGCGGACCCGAGTCAAGCGCACCCCCAAATCTACCCCCAAGCAACAGGTGCTCGACACTTTTGACTCCCCCTAATGTCGGTCTCCAAGCCACGTGCCCTAGGCACCAACCGGGATGACACTGATTTCCATTCCCTCCCGGACTTCTCGCCTCCGCTGGAAACGCTAGGCAGTAATGCTAAAGCGCTGAAAGCCGATTGGAAAGGGCAGATGTTGGACCTGAGCAATGACCCGGACAGACATCTTCTCAGTCCCGCCGAGCTCAACCTTGCCTCCACCCTTAGACTTTCTTGTGCCACGTACCTCTGCAGCAAACGCCGCATCTTTGAAGCTCGGCTTCGAGCCCTCGGTGTTGGCAAAGAGTTCCGCAAGACAGATGCTCAACAGGCTTGCAAGATCGATGTCAACAAAGCTAGCAAGCTTTGGACTGCCTACGAACGTGTGGGATGGTTCAAGCCTGAATTCTTCCATGAACATCTGACTTGACCTTACAAGCCTGGTGGCAATTTCATGGGCCAGGGAATGCACATTCATGACCCCGAATCTCCTCTCCCATGGGCCGACAAGTCCACTCTCTCAGGCTGACCACGCAGCATCTGCAACCCTGTAATTCAACCACAGTCTATGCCAGTGGCAGCAGCATTGCATTTGCAGAATGATTTCTACGATCCCACCATATTTGATCTTCTCGGTTTTTTTCCCGTTACTGTTCTGCTCACGACACTTCACGATACATTCTTTTCTTTTTGATTTCCGCCTTTCAATTCCCAAGATTCCCCTTGCTAGTTGCATCCAGACATTCCTGGTTCATGGTTTTTTCTCAACCGCTTTTGCCAACTTCGGTCGCGTGTTATGGCGTTGGGCGTTGTCTTCAGTTTCACATCGGTCTAGAATGGTAGGCTTGGTTAGCCATTGGTGTTTCTTCTTCTTTTTCCTTTCTTTTTTGCGTTAGTTGGATTGCCTTTTTGCTTTTTACCCTCCGGCCCTTCTCGGATGGCGGCACATAGGATAAGGCTTGATACCCTGACCGGATACGGTTTTCCTGACATTCGCCCATTGCATGAATTGAATTGAAACGAAATGAAATTGAATGCATCGTAAATATCAGTAAATTGTGATTCCTAAAAGCCAAAGATCGTGTTTCTAATTAAAAGTCACTAAAGCGGTGGGGCGCAATCAACGCCATCTACCGCCCGGCGCCACCTTTTTCTGACGTCTCCCTTGTCTTATCACTCTTCACTTTATTCACTTCACCCCAAAGAATATTTCCCTCTGTTATCTTGGCAATTTGAAGCCATGTCCCAGGCCGAGGTGACTCGTACTGAATCCATCGAGGACCAGGAGCGTGCAAGGGAGGAGGAGACTGACAAGAAACCCAAGTCTCGTCGGCCAGCCAGTACGTTTTCTTCAATATCACCCCCTTCCCATGATTGACTTGTACCAGATACCGCATTTCGCCAGCAACGACTGAAAGCATGGCAGTGAGTTTGAAAGGTATCTGTGCTACCCCTGGACCGCCTTGCTGACCTTCTTAGACCAATCCTGACCCCTAAAAGCGTCTTACCTCTCTTCTTCATAGTCGGCGTTATATTTGCCCCGATCGGTGGTGTTCTCATTTGGGCGAGTTCTCTGGTACGCTTCTGCTTTTCAATCCGGCCTTGATGGAATGATCGCTCATCTGTATCGACGCGTGTGCCTTTCAGGTCCAAGAAATTTCCATCGATTACTCCGAATGTCACACCAAGGCGCCATATGAACGCCAAGATTATGTCCCAAATTACTCTGCAACATTCAAAAATGAACTTTCGACACCACCTACCTGGGAACGACACAACGATAGCTCCGGAGCCACTGTCTGCACGCTCTACTTCAGCCTTCCAAATGACCTTCCAGCACCCGTTTTCATGTACTACCGTCTTACCAATTTCTATCAGAACCATCGCCGATACGTCCAATCGCTCGATTTGAATCAGTTAAAGGGTGACGCTGTCTCCTACAACACAATCAAGGGGGGCGCCTGTGACCCTTTGGCGATTGATGCGGAGGCCAAGAAGGCATACTATCCGTGTGGATTGATTGCGAACTCGATGTTCAATGATACCATTGGCAACCCCCAGTTCCTATCGGGGTCGGGGAGTGATAGCATCAAGACCTACTACAATATGACTAAGAAGGGGATCGCGTGGGCTAGTGACAAGGAGCTCATCAAGCAGACGAAGTATAAGCCAGGAGAAGTTTTGCCACCGCAGAATTGGGCCAAGTATAACGGTACCTACACAGAGATGCCTAATCTTCATGAAGATGAGGATTTCATGGTGTGGATGAGAACTGCAGGTTTGCCGTCGTTCAGCAAGCTCTCTCGCCGAAACGATACTCATGCCATGCCAAAAGGCTCTTATTCTTTGGACATTGTCCACAGTATGTCATTCTATCCATTTTTTTGGACTATATGGATGCTAACTCCCGGCCAGAGTTTCCCGTCACCGAGTACGATGGAACAAAGTCGATTTTGATCTCTACTCGGACGGTCCTTGGTGGCAAAAATCCCTTCATGGGGATCGCATATGTAGTGGTTGGTGGGATCTGTGTTCTCCTTGGGGCATTATTCACTGTTGCGCACCTGGTGCGGCCGAGGTATGATTATCTACAAGTTCCCTTCTTGAATGGAGAAGAACTAACCTCCTGTAGGAAACTGGGTGATCATACATATCTTACGTGGGATTCAAATCAGCCCAGCACTGCTGTCACTACGGGACGAGATGATCGCCCTTGAACCGAGTCTTTCGTTTTCTTCGTTTTTCTTATGGTGTTTTCTTCGCAATTTCTGTATTCAATGGGTTAACGCTGTAAATAGTAGGGAACTTTGAGGATATGGTGTTTAGCAAGGTGTTTTCCTCCCAGATGTATCTAACTTGATTGCAGATACTCCAAATACAACATTCTTTCTGTTCTCTTCTCGGCTTGGGTGACCTCATCCTGCTTCATAGGACTTGGTCGGAATCGCTCGCATGCCAATCGTCTTACACTTTCTCAATCCTCCCACGCTGATCTTCCGCATGCTCAGAACACCCCTTACCTGGGACATGCATTCCCGCATGACGCAGCATTCCTCCGGATCATGGAATCAGACCATGTTTAGTGGTGTTTGGGGTAAACGCACTCACTCATATAGCCATGGAAACCACTGACCAGTCAATTCCCTTTTGATCCTTTTGATCCTTCTTTTTTGTCCTCTACCCGACAGGTGTGACGGGGTAACGCCAAAACCACAAGGGCTTCCAACACCAGCAACATGGTCTGTCATTCCTTTTTCCAGCTCGTGGTCCTTGTCACATCCCTATTCCTGCAGGTTCAGTGCAGCCCCTTTGCCCTCCAGAAGCGAGGCGCCTGCGCCACCGAAGATCCAGACGCAGTGTTCCTTAATGAAGTTGGTCGCTTGAAGTCAGATGAAGCCAAATCTGCCAGTTATCAGGCCCGGATGGCCCCCATCGAAATTGAAACCTGGTTTCACATCATCAGCAGCCAGGCTGAATCGACACAGGTCTCTGATGATATGATCAGTGCCCAAGTCAGTTTATTACTTTCCCCCACATACCATTAGATCAACTTTACTGATATTTCCCACAGCTTTCTATCCTGCAACAGTCATATGCAGACTCTGATATCTCATATAGTTTGCGAGGTGTCACTCGCCATGTAAATGACAAGTGGGCGCGCAATGGGGATGATATCGCAATGAAGACTGCCCTTCGCAAAGGCACCTATCGAACCTTGAATGTTTATTTCCAAACAGACCTACAGGCTTCTCCTGGTCAATCCGGGCGCGCAGTGGGAGACCGGGGTGCAGGCGTCAATAATGATCTGGCATCCAGTGTTCTCGGATTTTGTACACTGCCTGACCCGAGTGTCAACGCCAGCAGCCCTGCTTCTGATTATGTCAAGGATGGTTGTAATGTCTTGGCAAAAACGATGCCTGGTGGCTCATTGGATTTGTACAACCGCGGAGGGACGGCCATTCACGAAATCGGACATTGGAACGGCCTCCTGCACACCTTCCAAGGGGAATCTTGCTCAGCGGACAACCCTGGAGACTACGTCAATGACACTCCCCAGCAATCTACACCTACAGACGGTTGTCCTGCCAATAAGGATTCCTGCCCAGACTCCCCTGGACTGGATGCGGTTCATGATTTTATGGACTATTCGTCTGATGTATGCTATGAGCGCTTTACGCCCGGACAGGGAGAGCGCATGCGAAGCATGTGGGCCTCGATGCGACAAGGGAAATAGTGCACTGGATCCTAGCACCAAATCTTTTATCAGTCGTACGTGAGCAATGCACATCGGATCCAGGCCGGGCAATTCCAGCTTGTCGGGTACTACAGTATAGAGAAATATTACTTGGTCTACATGTCACTCCTTAGAACGGATCATTTGCTAAATTACAGCGAAGAGTTCTGCTTTCTCCTGACTAAACCTTCATAAACCCTAATGACCATAGGCCCCGATTAAGATTGCCCCCAACTCAACCAGTGGAAATCACCAAGGAGATACAAGGCGAGGACCAAACAGCTCACAGAAAAGCAGCGAACTGCGCAAATAAAAGAATAAAGAGAAAGACGCAAAGAAAAGGCAGAGCACAGAAAGGAAAAAACGAACTAGTGAAGGCAGTTGACGGAATGAGGACTCATAATCCATTAGCGCTTGCGTTTGGTTCCACGGTCGTCTTCGATGTTGGTCTCCTTGTCCTTGCGTTTCGCCTTTTCCTCAAGCTCGTCCCAGTCCTCGCCACTCTCCTCGTCACCACTGAACTCTTCTTCACTGGCATCAGCACTGGCGTCGTCGTCAAATTCGCTGTCTTCCTCGGAGCTCTCGTCTCCAGCTGCAAGCTCCGAATCGGACAGCTCGAAAGCAGACTCTTCTTCCTCGTCCGAACCGTTCTCGGAGTCCGACTCGGCGGACAAGAAAGACCAGCCGCCATCAGCAAAGAAGCCGTACGGATCACTAACAACCGTTTTCATGATTGTAGTCCAGTTCAGGTTCAGTGGGCCCTCGGTGAAGGCGATGTCAACAGAGTCAAGCCAGTCCTTGACACCTTCTAGTGCTTCGACGGGAATAGTGTTGATATGCACTGGGGTCCTGCGGAAATCCTTGAAAACGAACACAAGATCGAAGTTTTTGAGTCCGAACTATTTTATCGTTAGAAGCTATGTATCAGTGTGGCAAGAGAAGTCAAAGATGTTACCTGTACTCTCTCCAGATGAGCAATCTCAATCTCATTCAACGTGACCACCGTGAAAGGAGGTTCAGTAAGCTGAACCAAGGCATCGGTGGTCGGTTGAATCAACACATTTGAGCGGTTTGGAACTCCGGTAAACCCAATCTCCCTGAATGGAATATCGACATCCACACCTTCGTCTTTGCCGGCGTCTGCGACCTTCTCTGCAAAGGCCTTGAACTCACGGTCCAACGCAGCTCGTCGCCGTCTCTCCTCTTGCTCGGCCTCAAACTCTTCCTCGTCCCCATAGCGGTGCTTGCGGCGACGGTTTCCAGTTTCATCGAATTGCATCTCAGTGGCCTCGCGGTAGAACTGAATGTCTTTTGTCTTTCTCTTTCCGATCATGATTGGCGTCTTAAGATGGACATGGATCAGGACGATCAATTCATGGGCACATGGTTGGAAAAAAGATGCTTGACGTTGCTGAAAAGCACATCTACATGTTCATTGCGGAACGGTGAGAGGTATCGGAGACCGTTCTGGTGAATTTCAACCTCTCCTGGTACACGCTTTCCATCCAATGGCGGGCGAAGATAGACATCAGGGAGCTTCACTGGACGACGGTTCCTGATCTCGACCAGCTTATCCTGCTCGACGACATCTTCCATCTCCTTCTTCTCCTGCTCCCGTCTTAAAGCAGTCTTGCGAAGTTCCGTGATGTCCTGTGCAACCCGTGCAAGCCGGTCATTGTCTTTGGATCGAAGAGTAAGATTGCGAACAAAGTGAGCTGACAAATCCTCGAAAGGTTGGTCATCCTTTCGGCCAACACCTTGGCCCGGCGATAAAAAGTTGATTCGTAGATAAGCATACTCTCCTTCATCGCTTTTGCTGGCGTTCTTTATGGTGTTAATATGGAAAGGCACTGGTCGACCCATGATGGGCACAATCACGGTTGATGTTTTCGAATCAACGTAAACAGTGAGATCTTTGACCTTGGCTGGAAGTTGGTTGTCGCGTTTGTAGGACTCAAAACGCTTAAATTTCTTTTGCGCAACTCCATTGTCATCGCCAGTAGCACCAGTGAACCGGTCGAGGCCTTCCTTGGTTTTCTTGGAAGCCAGTTCCTTTTGATGCTCACGCCGACGAGCTTCCGCGCCTTCATTCACTTGGGTTGGTCTTTCAGCACGGAGCTTGGTCCTTGTCACGTTCCTGCTAGCAATGGCGCTAGACTTCGATTCTTTTTTCTGCTTGACGGGCTTTTCGGGCTCTTCGTCGTCCCCAAAGTAGAATGATATCGAGTCCATATCGATACCAGCATCTTTGGTGAAGATATGAGGACCACTTTCCCCAACACGAACTGTGTCGGTGATGACCATTGAATAACCGCCATTTTTGGTGCTCTTCGCGTCTGGATCCTTCACATCAGTCAGGCCGATGGTGATAGACAAGGTCATGCCGTTCTTCAAAACACGGTTGTTTTTGGCATTGAGGACCATATTGGAATCCCGAAGCTCGATTCCAATCCCTGCGCCAATGTTCTTGACAAAGTGGCTCTCAAGCTCGGGCTTCTTGGACCGGACAAGACTCAGGGCTTTAGTGTAAATATCCTTAGCCACCACGCCGTCCCGAATCTCTTTCATGATTGTTTCGTGCACGCTCAGAAGCAACGCATAGTTAGCTTCTTGCGATTTGGTCGGATCAACCAGATAGGTACGCGCAATGAGCGAGCTATAAGTCTTGTATCTGATTCCGAAGCTGGACAGGATGATACCTGGCTCGAGGTTTTTGCCGTCGGATGTTGCTGTCAGCTTGAGGTCGTAGCTGCCTCCACTCTGGATCACAGGACCGTAGGCCCAATCGATCTGTCGAGCATCGAATTCTGATGGTAGCCGTGCCAGCTTGTTGAAAAACTTCGGTTCGTCAATTTTTGCATCAACCTTTGCAGCAAGAGCCTTGTGCGTCATCTTCTTTTCTTCGTCAAGCAGACGTGACATCTCATCAACGAAGTACTCTGACATAAGGCCGCTGCATGCTCTGGAAGCATTGCGAATAGACACCTATGACACGCGTTAGTAAAATCCACTTCTTCGGCGCTCTGACTTATATTTAACGAACCAGTTCGTCAGAGTCTTTGATCGAGAACGCAGCAGAAAGCGCTGGTGTAATATCAACTTCCTCCACCTCTTTCGAAATGTCTGCAAAAGCACGTTTCCATTCGTCTGCGAAGGGTCCCGAGGTTGTGTCCTTTGGTAAGGTACCGACTTTGTTCTGTTGTTCTCCTGGTTAGTAACAGGGGAATCGATCCGAAATGGAGGCTTCGGAAGGAGCCTTCTCCCGTATAAAAACTCACTCCTGCACCCTTGATAACATCCAGGCACTTCTCGAACGCCTTGGACTTTGACTCTGGATCCTTGGTGGTAACCAGGATCTCCACTGGAATTTTCCCGCCTTTCAGTGGCTCCAGGTGTTTTGCTGGAATAAGAACTCATTAGAAATGTGGCCTATATTAAAACAGTTGTAGCAAGGTACCTTTTTTGGCGGTGGTGACCACGTAAATTGCTTCGGTTGTGAGGACAAAAAGTGTGGCTGGAAATTCATACCCGAGAAGCCAAAACTGAGGTTAGGTCCAGTTAGCAACACGCCAAGGCTTCTGATATATCCCAAATCAATGATGGGACACAGGAAGGTGGATCACATACATGCATGGCGTTATTCTTCTGGAATGAGTTCTCCTCATCCGTCTTGCCCATGAGAATGACGATGGACCCTGCGTTGCCGAAGAGTGCATTTCCCGAGCGCTTATCAGCCTTCCATGATGCATAGAAATTGGAGAGGCGATTGAAAAAGTTATTGTTGTCAATGGCGATCTCTTCCGCCATGGTTGCGGTCTGATGTGAGTAAGATTTGCCGCAGCAAGAGACTGGGTGGACGGTGAGGGAGCTCAGTAAGAGAGGTAGGAGCTACTAGTGACACGAGAAAAATGCAAGGTAGGATTGAAAATCAGGGCAGATGGAAGAAAGAAGGCAGCATCGATGCGATAAACACCAATGGAGCAGAGGGATGGAGATAGAAAGTGAAGGCTGGCAAGCAACGCGAAAAGCGCGTTTTTACGTTGTAGGCCTCACTGGGTTGCCGTGTCAAAGTATTTCCTCTTTAGTACTAGCGTTTTTTTCTGCCTCCGTCTTCCGGTCTTCTGTCTTGATCTATTTGATCACTTTACTTGTTCAGTCTTTTGTTGACCTTTCACTTTCTTTCCCTCTATTCGCAGGCCAAAATGTCATGTGTAAGCTTTCATTTGGTTCTTCGACTTGGATATAAACACCTCTGATGCTGCCATTCTTTCTCCGCCTACGCCCATTGAATTATTGTCAATACTGATTAATCTCACTGAGAAAGAAAGCTCTCACTCTCCCTCTTCTCCTTGCGTTGGTTTTTTTGTGCCTATGAGCGGCTGTGAACAATCATGTCCTCTATATCTCCAATCCTTGAGCCCCATCTTGGTGAGCAGGGAAATCCACGGCGGATTTCTCGAAACGATGCAGCCACAGGTGCATCTGCTGCGGGTGTTCGGGCTCTTAGTGCGCAGATGGTAGCTTTCTATTTCAGAGCACCAATTAAAGCTTTTTTCCGTACGCGTGTTGAGTACGTGACCTCTATGGATCTTCGTGGTGGTGCTTGCACTGACATAGCTTAGTTATATGGTATCTATTTCCTCCAACAATCCGCAAATAGGTCAGAGGCCCGATCAACTAATCACTAGCTCTTGATGTCTTCTTATTGAAACAGGCCTTTGCAAGAGCTGTGAACCCTCGTGTTGCCGAAGGCAAATGGTCTCTTCATACGACAACCCCGGGGTTGTTGCTCCATGCTGTACGGACATATGGCTGGCGCTTTATCCCCAACCAAGTCCTACCACCTTTGATGGCAAATGCAGGGTGAGTCAACTATATCCCTTCATGTGTTTAAGACTAATGTAATGCCAAAAGGGTTGGCGCGGTCCTCTACACGTCTTATCTCCAGGTTTTGGGGGCTCTGCATGAACCTGTGTCTCAGGGGGTCAAGCGAGTCTGGCCCCCAGCTCCTCCCTCCGCAACATTTGCTTCTGGGTTTACCGCTGGTACCATTCAATCGATTGTTGCTGCCCCTCTAGACGCCTTGCAGGTTCGCTTAAAGACGAATGATATGCTAAAGGGCCAGTATCGAAGCATGTGGCATTATGGCCATCATAAGCTCAAACAAATCGGCCCGCGCGGGGTATTTGCAGGCTGGAGTCTTTCATTTCTGCGAGATTCCCTTGGATATGCCATATTTTTCTCCTCGTTTGAGTATATCAAGTCACAATCCTACTATTCCTTCGTCACTTGGTACTACGGGTCTCTACGATCTGAGCATGTGGACATGTTTCCATCGTCAGGGTCCAGCGACCGTGGAGTGCCACTCATCAAACCCCACTATGCCCTGGAACCTTGCTTCCTAATGATGGCGGGTGTTGTGGCATCGATTGCCCAGCAAGCTATACAACACCCTCTAAGCAGGATCCAAGACCTTCATCTAGGTCGACTGGAGTATTTAGATCACCACGCCAGCCTCATCCCCTCGCGGCAAAAAATGATGCAACTCTACTACCACGCCTACCAAGAGACCTTCAAAAGGTGTGAGCGGAAGGCCAAGCGGGCTGGGGGCTGGCGCCCCTGGCTGTTCCGTGGCTTTGTTGGGAGCTCGATTCGCCAAGTTCCTAGCACCAGTGCCGGTCTCGTGATTTTTGAGTTGGTCCGCCGACGGTATGCTAGTCTGGCGGATGCTGTCCACATCCAGAGTGATGGATATGACATTCTTCTCAATTAGGATTACCCTCCATGCCAAATCCTTGGTTGGATCTTACATTTCAGAGACGATCTTTTGAACATGAACATGTTAAATAGACTCGCGATTGCATGTAACTATAAATGATACCCTGTTTTCATCTCCAGGCATATAAATATGAAATATATCAACCAGTGTATCTCGTGAATGAGGCCGTAGTGATCATCTGTTGGACCTTGTCTCACGTTAATCACAGAAAGTAAGGTTCCGGCTAGATTTCCTTTAAATTTCCAATTGGACGAAGTCTACAAGGTACATATATCCATTTATCTACTCTGTGGTAAATACACATGAGGTTGTATGGAGGATAGGCGGATTCCATAAATAGTAACGGGACCGTCGATCCCTCCCCGGATTAGAGAGATTCAGTACGTATGCGTTCATATACGAGGTCTCCCCTATTATTCCCAGCTCTTTTCCTTTTGCTTTCTCCCCCTATTCTCTTGATAGAAAAATCTTCATCACTTGATCATAGTCATCTGAACTCGGGTATTCTTTTGTATTGGAGAGACGCCCAAACGCACCCCCTCTCTCCCGGTTCTCCGCCTGACCACCCTGAATCCCGTCATCTTGCGTCGATCCCCTGCGACTTGCCTTTACAGCATCGCCCAAGTGGCGTCGCCCTATTGCGACTAGTACATCTCTGGCTCCTTGCGGAGAAACCCTGGAACTCTTATCGATATAGTTCCATAGTTCCCTGACATTCTTTTTCCCGGTTCAAGGGCTGAGATCAGCCCGTCACCGCCATCATTCCAACCACTTCCTCCCCACGCGCCTCCAGCATACCCCTCCGTACCCTATACTCCGATTCCCTCCCACAATCAGCTGTGCTAGAGTCCGCCAGTGAAAAAGGCAGCCGACGATCATCCCGCTCGTCTGCTCGCTCGGTCGAGTCTGGCTTCTCTATCTGGCCAGATACCGGCGACCTCGCCGAGCAGTTTGCCGAGGATCCGCTCCAGGATCACTTTCGCAAATCCTTGGACCGTGAGCTTCTAGGCGGAAGAGGGCGAAGAAAACAGAGGCACGTACATTATCATTCAGACGAAAACGAACGGTCTGGAATCGACGTCGAGAAAATACGAATACCAACTCCTCCGCCGCGGCATATTTCAAGAGCTGAACGTGTGCTGGCAACGATAATGTCACCCAGAAGTGGGCAAAACGCCCAAATACATGGCTTAGTCGGAAAACCACTACTGTAAGTCTTGGAGATGAACACATTGTACCAGCCTCGCTGACTCTGGTATGCGTTTAGTTATTTTACCAGTGTGTTTGTCTCTCTGGGTGTATTCCTTTTTGGGTATGACCAGGGTGTGATGTCTGGAATCATAACGTTCGTGTGCCCCTTCTGCTCTAGCTCTCGGCTATCATTCCACTGTGCCTGGTCAGAGTGTAGCTAACAAGCACAGTGGCTGGTACTTCAAAGACTACTTCGACCAGCCCTCTCGGGCTACCATTGGTACTGTAGTTGCAGTCCTTGAAGTTGGCGCCTTTATATCATCTCTACTTGTTGGACGAATCGGTGATATGATTGGTCGTCGAAGGACGATTCTCTATGGCTCCATTGTGTTTTTTGTTGGTGGTGCTTTCCAGACATTTGCAACAGGCATCCCAATGATGATGGTTGGTCGTGTTATTGCTGGTCTCGGCGTTGGTGCCCTTTCTACTATCGTACCAGTCTATCAGTCTGAAATTTCGGTATTACCCTCTTCTTGTTTCCTCATCTTCTACTTCCGATATGCTGATCAAAACACAGCCTCCTCACAACCGTGGCAAACTTGCTTGCATTGAATTCACCGGAAATATAGCTGGATATGCAACCAGCGTGTGGGTGGATTACTTTTGTAGCTTTATTGACAACGACTACTCCTGGCGCCTCCCGCTGCTTTTCCAGTGCATCATGGGTGCTCTACTTGGCTTCGGTAGCTTGATCATCTGTGAATCACCTAGGTGAGCCGAAACAAAATATATCTGTCCCTGCCACGCTAATGAGCCTTCCATCCAGGTGGCTTCTCGACAATGACCATGACGAAGAGGGCATGGTGGTGATTGCTAATCTCTATGGTGAAGGCGACCTACTTAATGACAAGGCACGCCAAGAGTATCGTGAGATCAAGATGAATGTCCTTGTCCAGCGACAGGAAGGCGAGCGATCCTATTCTGATATGTTTCATCGGTATCGCAAGCGTGTTTTGATCGCAATGTCTGCTCAGGCGCTTGCCCAGCTCAATGGAATCAACGTCATCTCATACTATGCACCCCTCGTGTTTGAATCGGTATGAGTATCCTCTGCCGCTCTGCAGATCTGCCCACACGGACTTTACCAAGAAGCAAAGGGCTCTATTTTAACTTATGCTGACGTGTATTTACTATAGGCTGGCTGGGCGGGGCGAGATGCGATTCTCATGACTGGAATCAATGGTATTTCATATCTGTTGTCTACTATACCGCCATGGTATCTTGTGGATGGTTGGGGTCGGCGACCCATTCTTCTTTCGGGTGCCGTGGCCATGATCATTTCGCTGTCTCTGATCTCTTATTTCATTTACATTGAGATCCCTGCAACCCCAACCCTCACAGTCATATTCGTCATGGTCTACAATGCTGCATTTGGGGCATCATGGGGCCCAATCCCATGGCTATACCCTCCCGAGATTCTGCCCTTGAGTATCCGTGCCAAGGGTGCAAGCTTGAGCACTGCTTCAAATTGGGCATTCAATTGGCTTGTGGGTGAAGTCACTCCGGTCCTTCAGGCTGCCATAAAGTGGCGGCTCTACTTGGTCCACGCATTCTTTTGCGCATGCAGTTTTGTGCTAGGTAAGAACTTACCCATCAAACATCTGACAGGGACCATGAAGCTGAACTGTTCCTAGTCTACTTCCTGTATCCCGAAACGAGTGGGGTTCGCCTAGAAGATATGAACATCTTATTTGGCGACGCTTCTACTGCCATGCCTACACCCGCCACGCAAGGTGAACGAGGGTCGCTGATGGGTGCTGGATCACCCGTTCCCTCGCTTGACCTGCGCCGACAGTATGGCCAAGTTAGCACAGAAAATGCCATTCCTGGTTTAGACATTGACCCGCCAACACTGAACCAGGAAGGCCCCAGCAAGCGTGGGCGCTCAAACTCGCGGCAGAGCAATGCTCGAGATGAGGGCATTGGTGGCTGGATCTCGAGCATGGTCAACCGAAACCGTGGATCGGGCCCTGGAGCTAGCAGCAGTCAGTATCGGCGCCTAGAGCAAGGAGAGGGAGATGAGCAATGAAACTTAATGCTGTCAATCTCTTGCCCTGGTCCGCGGGTGGATGAAGTGAAACAGCCACCACTTGGTAGCATGCTCCGTCTCTCCTTTAATACTTTTGTGATACCGGTATATATCTAAGTTGTCTTTGTTTCACATTTGCATTGCAATATGTCAGTTTGGATTCTGGTATACAGGTTTTGTTACTGATAGAGGTGTACAATCCGAGTAAAATAGGTCGTAAAGAACTCGAATGGTACAGTACATATATATGTATCCCTGAATTGGTCTAGAGCTAAAGATATGAGATTCCTTGATTTTCACCAGAACAGTTTCAACTCATTTTCATCAATTAATAACACATAAAGTGTAAATGCAGAGAAGAATGTGAACGGAAGACAGGAGGAAGGGCCACGTTCTGAAAACGGCCCCTCGGGCTAAAAGTGGACTGTTTATCCTGAGGCCACGGAACACCTCTTCTCTCTCTCTCTTCTGCCATTCTCCCTTCACCTTTTCCTTTCCACCTTTTTCCCCTTCTTATTTACTGTTTGATTTACTCTAGCATTGCTTTCGGTGATCCCGCTGGCTTTGCTCCAGTCCTACCACTCATTTACCCCGGATATGTTCCCTTGAACCATCCTCTTTACCCCCGACTATTGTCACGTCTTTTCTCTCTTTCCCACCCTCTCTCTCTTACCCTCCCGGCTGCATTTGTTGAGAACAGCTTCGGTTGTGTGAACTAGTCCAGCGCGTAATATGGCAGGACTAGACACTGCTGTGAGCACAGGCGCCAAACAGGACTCTAACCTGCGTCGGAGAAATGTCCCTGGTGCTGGCAAAGGCAACTCGGCGTCTCTAAGTGTGACTGCCGATGAAGATACGAAGAAATCTAGCCCCCAGGTAAGATTGACCCTTAGCTGCTGGGATATCTTTCTTATCAAAACTTATGGACAGTCCACCTCATTCCTCCATGTGCTTGCTGGCTGGGAGCCGGTCATTGCTCCCATCATTTTGACAGCTCTCGCCCTCTTCACTCGCCTGTATCGAATCGGACGCTCCAACATTGTCACGTGGGATGAAGCTCACTTCGGTAAATTCGGATCCCACTACCTCAAACGCGAGTTCTACTTCGATGTTCACCCACCTCTGGGAAAGATGCTAGTTGGATTGTCTGGCTATCTTGCTGGTTACAATGGATCCTTTGAGTTCAAATCTGGCGAGAAGTATCCAGAGGATGTGAACTACACCTTTATGCGAGCCTTCAATGCTGCCTTTGGTATCATTTGTGTTCCCCTGGCCTACTACACTGCCCGGGAGTTGAATCTTCGCCGAGCCGCCGTATGGCTGATCAGTTTGATGGTGCTATTTGAGAACTCTTATGCGACGATCTCTCGGTTTATCCTTCTTGACTCTATGCTGCTCTGCTTCACATTTACCACAACAATGTGCTGGGCGAGGTTCCATCGCTTGCAACGTGCCAGCTTTTCGCTGGAATGGTACACCTGGCTCTGTCTAACTGGTCTGAGCATTGGCTGCGTCTGCAGTGTTAAATGGGTCGGTTTCTTCTGCACTGCTCTTGTGGGTCTGTATACCGTTGATGACCTGTGGAATAAATTTGGCGACCTGAAGATGCCTCAGGTGAGTACCGGCTATCACTTGGCTCTTTCACGTCTCCATCGAGTAGCAAACTAATATGCCATGCGCCTGACAGACGGTTCTTGCAAAGCATCTAGTTGCTCGTGTTGTGGGATTAATTGTGATTCCAATTTTGGTTTACATGTTTTCTTTCTACCTGCACTTTTTGGTGCTAGCAAACAGTGGTCCAGGTGATGCCCAGATGAGCTCACTCTTCCAAGCCAACCTGCGAGGCACCGAGGTCGGTAGGGATAGTCCTCTTGAGCTTGCAATTGGATCGCGTATCACTCTCAAGAACATGGGATATGGAGGAGGACTCTTGCACTCCCATGTCCAGACTTTCCCGGAGGGATCTATGCAGCAACAGGTCACTTGTTACCACCACAAAGATGCAAACAATGATTGGTTTATCTACCCTAATCGACAGGAACCCGACTATGATGCCACTGCTGATCTACGGTTTGTTGGCGACGGCGATGTCATTCGCCTTATCCACGGTCAGACTGGTCGCAACCTGCATTCTCATGCTATCCCTGCACCAATCACTAAGTCTCATCATGAAGTGTCTTCCTATGGAAACATTACGATTGGCGACGATAAAGACCACTGGAAAGTGGAAGTCGTTGATGATGTTGCGTCAAGGGACCGGTCTAGGATTCGAACGCTAACAACGGCATTCCGGCTCCGCCATCCAGTCCTAGGATGCTATCTACGGGCAGGAAACGTCAATCTACCCCAGTGGGGCTTCAAACAGATTGAAACAACTTGTACCAAAGAGAACAAACCTGGCGACGTCTACACTCACTGGAACGTTGAGTCTCATACCAATGAACGCTGTACGTTACAGATCTAAGCCCTACACTTCGCGAGCCCAGCAGGACTTACTGACTGTATATAGTGCCTCCTGGTGACCCTGGCTCTTATAAATCACCCTTCTTGAAGGACTTCATCCATCTGAATGTGGCTATGATGACTTCCAATAATGCCCTGGTTCCTGACCCCGATAAGCAGGATGATTTGGCATCAAAGTTCTGGCAATGGCCAATTCTGAATGTTGGCCTGCGCATGTGCTCTTGGGACGACAACGTGGTCAAGTACTATCTTCTTGGAAACCCATTCGTCTACTGGGCAAGTACTGCTGGTCTTGGCGGATTCGGCCTTCTCTTCCTTTGGTACATTCTGCGCTGGCAGAGAGGTTTCAAAGACCTGAGCGACGAGGATATCCGTCATATTCACTACTCTGGCCTGTACCCTGCCATTGGATGGGTTTTGCACTATCTTCCCTTCATTATCATGGCGCGTGTCACTTACGTCCATCACTACTACCCGGCTCTCTATTACGCAATCCTGACCTTTGGATTTTGCGTTGATTGGGTGACACGCAGGATGAATTCTAGATTCGCTGCGGCATTGTATGCGTTGCTCTATGTGGTAATCATTGGGCTGTTCGTCCATTTCCGAGCCATTGTGTTTGGAATGGAGGGCTCTAACCAGCAATGGACTCACCTGCGTTGGTTGCCCGGATGGAAAGTTTCGAACTAAGCGTGGGATTTCCAGAACAAACCCCACGCATGTTCTCTTCGCTTGATTTGGTGGTGTTGACTACCCCCAGGCTCTCAATGGATTTTAACGCCTACGTGGATTCTTGTATCAACACAGATAATTCTACTTTCCTTTTGCCTCTCCTTTAGTGGTACATGATTTGACGGAAAAATGCAATTCAGATGCCATTAGAGATTAAGCATATATCTCCCTAGTAGTCACGCTAGATGAGCAGTAATTCAACAATGTTCAAGGTGGCCTCTGTGCAAGGCAGATGCTTGCTTTGATTCAGCCAGCTGCGCATGTTGTGGATATTCCATATGGTGCCGACTCTGATTCCCGCAGACCGGAATTAGCAGCATCCCCCAGTCCAACCATTGCCGCCTTTGCGCATGGCGTCGTCCACCCCCAAAGTTACGGTCCTAGGCACCCCTGCGTTTGCTCCCCCCGAGGCGCCGAATCCTTTCACCCCACTTCGCCGGTCATTAAGGTCATATTTCCCGGCTTCAATGTTGCGATAGATTCTCTCAGCAACTTCCAGAAACGCGCGCTCAACACCATCCCCAGATTTGGCACTCGTTTCGATATAGCGAACCACATTGTTCATACGGCACCACTCTTCAGCCTCCTGCTGGGGAACCTGCCTTTGATTTGACCCTGAATCTGCTCCAGTCAGATCAGTCTTGTTACCCACCAGGATCACCACGATGCCATCTTCAGCAATTTGCCGTAGATCTTGAAGCCACTGGGTGCAGGAAATGAAAGTTGATCGTCTGGAGATGTCAAACACTAGAAGCGCGCCGGAAGCACCTCGGAAATAGGAGCGTGTGATGGACTTGTATGTCTCCTGTCCAGCGGTGTCCCACAGGGAAAGTTTCATGCGTTTCTGATTGAGAGGGTCCTGTGGCTTTCGTGGCGGAGTAGGGAGGCCGGAGGTGGTTGGCGCATTTGGTGTATCGCCTGCCGGAGGCGACCCAGGAGAAAGCCCATCAAGCTCTAGCTCTAGCGAGGCCGGGGGACCAACTGGCACGATCCGCGATCCGAACTCGACCCCAATAGTGACATCATGCGACGGAGAAAAGCGGCCTTCACAAAGTCGGATGGTGAGCTACTGTTTGGTTAGTGCAGCTCGTAACGTCAAGAGATAGGTACATACACTGGACTTGCCAGTGCCAGAGTCACCAATGCAGACAAGCTTAGCAATATAGTCCCATGGCTGTGACATGGAGAGAGCAGATCAAGAGAAGATGAGAAAGAAAGCGGAGATGGCAATGTAGTTGAAAGGTGATTATCAGCTGAGTCATCTATCAAGCCTGACGTGCCCGTATGACGCTTTCATCAGCTGCGTGACCCATGTCCTATCGTAGACTTCACACGTCCTTGGAGTTTTCTTCTCCCTTTCCCTAGATTTTACCTCAAATATCAAGCCTTGTACTCTGTTTCTCTCTCTCCTCCTCTTATAATCCCTTTATTCTTGTCTTCCCCGGTGAGCTGTGAACATCACCGGTCCGCTCACCGTATTTTCTGTTGTTGCGACAGCAGGCCATGTTCTCTGAATGTAGGAACCAGGAGACCTTGAATTCTGAAATGCATGGCTAACGTTTCATCCTAGATGCCTCACGCTTCCTTGCCCAGTCACAGTCGAGGGTAGCGTCTAGCCCGGATGACCTTCAAAGAACGGGCCGTAGTCGCCCCAATCAACAACATCAAGGGAACCAACGTCACTCTTCGTCGCGGTATTTCCTACGGCCAAGTGATCCATATCGACCTGATACATCTCAAACCTCTCATTTCCCCTTTGCCTCCCGTGGTCCCGCCCAAGCTCCCCTCTTTTTCAGTGCCACCGATGAATTTCGAGAAGAAGATGACGAGACGGAACGTGAGCGGGAAATAGCGGATTTCTACGCCTTACAACGATCAAGGAGGCAGTTTGGTGACAGCAATTTGAAGGACTCCTCGGAACTCGATGATTCTGAACGTTCAGAAGGATTCGATGAGGGGCATTCACGGTATGATGACCGCCCTGGTAACGGGAAAGGAATCAAAAGTTCATGGCGTGGGGAGAAGAACGTTGCTTCTGCGCGCCCTTTTCCGATTGAGCCCGTGGAAGAGATAGCAGAGCATGGTCATGGATCTCAAACTAGCCCCAGCAGTAGCAAGGTCCGAGGCCATCTGGTCGATGTCGGTCTTGAGGATTCTTTACGAGCCGACGCTGAGGAGGACCAGGTGCCACCCAGTCCCGGTGGCCGCGATCCACCCATTCAACGATTTAGAGAGCGAGGTTCAACGAGGGATCTCTCCGGGATCAGCCCTTTGGGGCCTACTGAACAGGCCGGTCTCCTATCGCAAGATGTCCCACGACCCCCCAGCTCGACAAGCTCATTTCCAGCCTCGGTATCACCTCTGGCCTCAGAAACCATAGTTCATGATGCATTTTGGGGCCAGCTGTTCTTGATATCTCTCGCTGGACTGTTTGCCTCTGCATTCCTCGTGTATCTCCACACATCTACCCCATCTGGAGATAAATCGAAATGGGGCGATACAATATACATGACCGTCCATGGGTCCTTCTTTCTCCTCGGAATCTATACTATTGTATCGGTTCTTGTCTCTCTTCTCTGGTTGGCCTTGTTAAGGTCTTATGTGCGACTCCTAGTCCACGTCATCATCGTCGCTGTTCCGGTCATCCTATTCTCATTTTCCTTGTACCCTTTTATCTCAAGTTTCAAGGGACCATGGCTTGGATCAAGTGTACAAGACAAAGCGATGAGATGGGGCTCCGCTTTTCCTTTCTTAATGGCCACGATGTGGATCTACAATGTTGTCCATGGCCGTCAATCTATCGGGAAGGCGATAGGTATTCTTGAATTTGCTTGTCGAATTTTGGCTGCCAATCCCGAGCTGCTTGCTCTTGGTCTAGGGGCCATGGTTTGCGTGGTGTCTTGGACATGGATCTGGATGCTGATGTTCACTCGCGTCTTCCTAGGTGGTCACTCTGGCCCGAGATCTTTCATTATCGACTTGAGCAGCTGGTGGCTTGGCGTCTATTTTGTCATAGTCTATCTGTGGTCAGTCGGCGTCATTGCAGGCATCCAGCGTGCTGTCACCGCCGCAACGGTAAGCCAGTGGTATTTCCACCGCTTGACTACACCTGCACCAACCTCAAGGCAGATTGTCCAGGCAGCCATCGTCCATGCTGTGACAACTCTCTTTGGCACGATTTCGCTATCCAGAGTTCTGGGGCTATTGATTCGACTTCCGCTTCTATTGCTACCAGGTCGAATCTCCTCACTAATCAGTCTATTTGCCTATTCACTTGTTCCCACACCTATTACTTATTTGACCAATCCGCTTTCACTCACCTACGCCGCTATCCATTCGCAGCCACTTGCTGCTTCATCGCGAGGCTTAAGTCAAATGACCGTGCTTTCCCCATCAGCCGCCTCGACTTCTTTACGCTCCCGTTCCTATCCTTCCGGGAACTCGGCGTCTCTTCTGTCCTATCGACTTTCCAAGCTGATTCTTTATGCTACCCGTTTCATGATGTCGTTGGCTCTGGGTTTCGGCGGCTGGGTTACCACTGCTAGGAGCCTGACAACTTCTGCTAGTGGTGGCACAATTCGTGGCAGTCTCTATGCCTATGTGGTCGGTCTCATTGCTGGAACGATTGGATGGACCATACTGGGTGCGATGGAAGGTGTTATTGCTGATATTGTCGACGCGGCCGTGATTTGCTGGGCCAGTGAGGTTGGCATATATGGCCGAGAGGCTCGATATTGCCGTGAGGCTGGCTGGCTCTTTGGCGACTCGCAGTCCCGTTTCGGCCCTGAGTACCAGGAGGTTTAGGTCAAGTTATCATTTTTATAAGCTCTGGGCGACGCATTTGTTTCCACGATCATGATGACATTTGCACAATTTCTCTGTACACTTGAGCGATTATGATATTTCCATTCCATATATTAGCGACATTGAATTCGGAGGAATTGACGAGCCGGTTTCCTTTACAGATTTACTTCTAATCTACACAACACACTCAAGCACCTCGCTTTGGCAGGGGAATTGATCAGTAGATTGCGTGCCCTGTGGTATTCGAATTGCAAATAGCTACATGAAATCCAGGGCTCGTGGTATCATGAAGGGATAAAGGAAAAGCACGGGAAAAGATAAAAAAAAATCTAACAGGACGCCATGATGAGCTAGTATGGAGACTGTAGAAGATGAGGGATAAGTTAGAGACCGAGACGCCCATTCCAATCCACCTGTTCCTTCGAGCACCATTCTTTGAGTAGGGACCCTCCAAAACGAACCACTTCGATGGGGGAGTCGTACCACCTAGTGGCAGGAAATAGCTCCCGGAATAATCGCCAGCTTTGAGTGATGCTCGACCTCGCTCTGAGTAATTTCGGGATCGTTGAGACCAGCTCGTAGGAAACTCACGGGCAAGGACATCTTCAGAGAGGCCTCGTGTGCCTTCCAGCCACAATCTTTGAGACTCTTTGTAGCACTCAGGAAGACGGTTTTTCAGATCCAAGAACTCTTTCCTGGCTTTTCTGTTTTCGTCCGACAAAACCGCGTTGCCGTCACTTCCAGGAGTGGGCACTGGAGTATGGTCCCCTGGAATTGGGCTTATGGCGAGGCGTTCAAGATCAAGTGCGTGGATAGCATTGAATGAGACGGCACCAAGCAGTAAGCAAAGATTTGATAGTGCCGGATAGGGCGCAGTCAGCTTCTTTACCACCTTCCAATATGGCACGATAGACAGCCATGTCGAGGAGTCTCCGACCTGGCGTGATACAGCTTTGGACTGATCGTCCGCCACAAAGGCTAGAATGAAGGACAGCAATGCCTCAATGGCAGTCACAGCAGCGAGCTTCTCATCCACCGATGAGGCTCCATTTTTGGCGTTGTGTCGGTCTGCGGCATGTTTCAACTCACGGCCGATGGTTGAAAACTTTTGCCATTCATCCCGCCAGGCTCGGCGCTCACGCGATCGATTATCAGACTGAGATGGAAATGCTTTCGCAACTATCCCAGTGTCAACGGAATGTCGTTTATTAGCAGGATGAGAGGGTGTTTTGCCATCACTCTCTCCGAGGTCAATCTGGCGTGAGGCAGACGACTTGCGGTCTCTCGGCGTGGTTGCAGCGGGTTTAATTTTTTCGTGTGCATGGGAAGCCACAGATGGCTGTGAGAGGGGAGTTCGGGCCTTTTCCGTGAGACCTTTCGGCTCCCTTGAGCGACTATCATAAGGACCAAGGGCTTCGTCGGTCTCGTGCTTGGTCTTATTTTTCAAACCCCCAGACAGAACATTCCCGCGGAATGAACTCGTTTCCCCTCCCTTCTTCCTAGAATTGGAGGTGTCGTCGCGATCGGTATCCTGGCTGACCGGCGAATCTGACCGATGCGTTTTCTTTTTACCAGAAAATTTGAGTAAAGCCTCAACCCGTTTCCTATTCGCTCTCCCGTATCTCAGTTTGACAATGAGTTGTGTCTTGGGTGCGCTAAGCCGAGCATTGTCCTTTGGATAGTCTTGGATATTTGAATCTTTCACAGGTAATACCTGTTCTGCCGCACCTGATCGGCTATTGTGTGGTGGTGAAGGATCCTCGAGGCGGGCCAGTTCCTTTTCAATGTCTGGCGGCAGTGTAGGAGACAACAAACGTGGAAGCTTGGGGCCACTTGAGGTTGGTGGGAGGGTGGGCGAGAGAAGCGCAGGGAGTTTGGGAGAGTGCGATTTCGAAGGGCTGGGGTCTCGGCACGTTTCTTTACCAGGAGATAGACGCGGCTTTTTGGGAGAGTGGGTTGCGGGATCTTTGGTTCCTCGAGGATTGAGGAGCTCACGGTCCGAGCCAGATGGCCGTTTCTGGCCCGGCCTTTCAGGAGAAAGGCGCGTGTCAGACCTTAGTGGCATTTGTGGTGCCTCGGCCCTATCAGGGTTCTTGGGTGGTTCCGAACCTGTCGCCTGTCGTTTTTCTTCGGATTGGGGCAAGTCTGATGTACTGCGGCTACTTGGTTCGGGGCCCAGAGGAGATGCGATGGGACCGTTATTCTTCTGATTCTTGTAATCCTTGAGACTGATCTTCTTCCTGACCACTGATTCCCTTGGATTTTCTGTGGTGCTTGGGGCCGTTGGTCGATCGTCCATCATGCGCCCCGTCTCATCTGACCAATCCCCAACAGCGACAAGTAGCGAATCCGTATTGTGATGTGCCAGGAAGGTCATAT